AGAAGTCCGTATCCTTGGCTCTCACTGACCACGCCGCCGGCGGCTCCACCCGAGGAACGCACCGCCCTGTACTTGGATCCAGCTGCAGGCAAAGCAGTCAGGGCATCCACGAACTCGAAAAGCCGCGCCTTTCCCGAGCCGGCTGTGCCCGTAGTGAACGCCATTCCGGGCACCGGGTTGGGTGCGGGGCTTGGAGTGGGAGACGGGGGAGGTGAGGGCGACGGCTGGGGAGACGGAGATGGGGTCGAGCCCCCGATGACGGTGCAAGTCCAAGGAGTCTGATACTCTGGCGCATCGTTCGGGTCGATGGCACCCGGCTCACAGCTCTGTCGGCAATTTGCCCAGTAGTCATTCTTTTCCTTAGCTCAGCGCGCTTTCACTGATTCTTCCAAAACCCGAAACTCTAAACCTTGAAGCCATGTACACGTGAAGCAACTATGCTATAACACCCTTTCCGGGCTGTGGTAGGGAAATACCACTTATTTATGGATACTTATAGTTTGTCACCGCCCTCACATATATACTTTATGATGGGTGGTTATATTACACAAGCCGTCATCGCAATTCCTAACTTCGAGAACCTACTTGGTCCCATGTACTGCAGGTACTGAGGAACCTTAGGTGCTCCTATGTGCTCCTCTACATTGACTGTACAATTTCAGATTTAGGGTTTAGGGTTTAGGGTTCATCTGTGGCACGAGTGGACTACAGTGAGTGTTCACCAACCTCTGAGAAACATGTGTGTCTGGAGCTAATACTGCTAAACATGTCAGGCTACTACCCCACTGACCAAATGCGCATCGTGCCTATTATACTATAGAGTATATACCTAAGCCGACAAGGCACGAACCCTGAACCACCCTAAACCCTACACCTTAAACCTTAAATCTTAAACCTGAGCCCTGCTTGAAACCGAGGAGCCATGGCTGAAGCCGTCTATGTAAAGTGTAGATCCCAGGCAAAATATAACGAATAGATGTACCTTCACAGTATGACAATGATGTAACACTGGCTGGTACTGAAACAGTGACGCATGTACCTCATTGTAGGTACAAGGCACAAGCAATCAACAAAGAAGTAAAGTAGAGGATAAACATGAACACGCCGAGTCTTTAAATCCGAATGACCCCAGCCCGAAAAGAAACAGGCCTAGCATCGTAGCAAGTCAAACCTGCATTCACACAGCAGCCTGTAGCGCGGCAGTCCTCAGACGCTTCAGAACAAACGCCTCCAGGGCTGCAGACAGAGGTTTGGGGCCTGGCTAGGACTAGGATTTCTGAAGTTCATAAGGAGTCTAGGGTTTAGGCTTCTGGTGCTTCGGGTTGTTGGTTCGCAGGCCATCGATGGCAAGAATACTTCATGGAGATATGTAAAAAGGGGCCCATATATGTGCAAAAGTGACATTGAGGTCCTTGGCTATCTACCTACCGATCTATCTATCCATCTCTTATAAACCATTCGAAACCTACACACCTAATACCCACCTTTCCACCCACCAGCCAGTCAGCCATCTATCCAGCTGTCTCCCCGCTATACTTTCAAGACACTGTGCTTGCAAGTCCGCTTGCCTGTGTAGGCAAACAACAGGAAAACCTCGAACCCTTTGCAACATGTCGGTCTCGGCTCTGTTGAATAACTACCATTGAGACCCTCGGACGGCTTTGACATCTACCAAAAACAGAAAGAAGCATTATTGGGTGAGAGAACGAAAAACACAAGGCCTCCGGTCGAATCGGAGCTCGTCGTGGGTGCGATCGTGGAAGTTACCGGCACCGTGGTTGCAGGTGGCGATGGAGGGCCTGGCTTCGTGCAGGGTCTCCGGCTTTAGCCCTCAACTTTGAAGCCTAAGCCCTGATACCTAAAGGACCTGAACCCACAAGCATACAGCCTGAAGCCCAACCCCCTACCCCTAAGCCTTATAGAGCCCAGTTACGGAGCTCAAGCCCGGAAACAGCAGGTTCGAGGTCCAAGAGCAAGATTGCCAAGCAATAACAGCAAAACCGTGGAAGCCCCGAACCCCTAAACCCCTGAAGTTCCTTCAGCTTTGGGCTTTTGGGGTTTAAGGGTTTGGGGTTTAGGGTTTAGGGGCTAAAAGTTCCGCAACCTTTGTAGAAACCGTATCAAGCCATGGAGATGAAGGTCAAGCATCTACCTCCCAAGCTCGCGCACTTCTTATCCTGAAGCCTTCACGCTCTCCCGGGAACCACTACGCCCTACACAACCTCTGAATGAAACACTAACCAGAACCAAAGCCTAAACCTAAACCATGTAAATGCAGCCAAAACTTCTCCAACCCACGAGAAACTGTAAACCTGAACTCTAAAGCAGCCATAAGTCCTGAAGCCCACTAAAGCCTCCAAGCTGCTGGGAGTTGGGGTTGGAGCAGGGGTCGGGGCACCCGTGCCCGAGCTTAGCAGTCCAACTCTCTCTGCAGCTCGAGAGATGTCCCCGTTCCTTAGCGATTCATTTAGGGTCTAGGGTTTAGGGCATCTGCTTTTGTGTGGGGGATGGCTCGGGTTCAATTGGAGTCTAGGGTCGTGGTTCGGGTTTTGGTGGTCTGGGGTTGCTTTTGTGTTTGAGGGTGAGGGTTTCAAGTTTGATACCTGGTGGGTCCAACTCCACCGCAAGTTGGGTATCGATCTATAAACAGATACAGACATACAAAACTTGAAGGCTGGAAGTCTCTATATCGAGAAGTGGGTCCCCGAAAGCCAGGATCCCTTTCGCCGGTGGTCTCTATTGTGGCTTTTTCGTGGAACCGCAAGCCCCACATGCAAATGTCCGAACCAGACCTCGTGGGTCGTGATAGAGGTTCCCTGCTAAGACCACTTGGGTTTTGCGGTGTAAGATAGCATAGTACTCATAATGAGAACTACAAGGTCACTATAAGGCTGAATGATTACTTTGCTCTTCCGAGCTCTATATTATACTATATTATGTGAGTTCCAACAGCCCTTGCCGTCTGATTCACCTCTGGTCCCCAAAGGCATGTAGAATCACAGCCTTTTAATCGGTGTTGGGCCACTATCTGTACTAGTGCCTAAGTTTGGGGATTAACGCACGGATTAGAGCGGAAGCCATGGAAGTTCCCAAAGCCGGGTCGGGCCTTCTCCAAACCGAGGTGCAGGGTAATAGTGCTGATGGCGATCCAGCTGCCCGAGTAGTAGTCTTCGATGGCCTCATGTTTTAGGGCATATAATGGTAAGGTACGGGTGTAGGGTTTTGGGCACGAGGTCAAGGGAATTGGAAAGGCCTTGAATATTCAAATCTGTGGCTGCATGGATGTGGGAACAAACGTTCCGTGTCTTCCTGAGGTTCATATACATCCCGGCCCGAGAACACCAAGCCACACCAGAAGCCACCGAGCAATCAAGCCGGTGCCACCACCGCCAACGACAGCAAACAGAACAAATGAGCGATAGTAGCAGCACTACCACCACCGCCACCAGCAGCAGCAGGAGCAGCAACGGCAACATCAGCTCTCCCATCACAGTCTTCGGCGCATCATGATCCTAAAGGCTATACGGCCTGAACGGGAAACACATGATGATCCTGATTTTAGGGTTTAGGGGTTTAGCGACCCTAAACCCTAAATCCCGAAAATGAGCGTGTCTTTCCAGAACCCACGGAGCTCCTTTGGTTGCAGACCGCCCTCAGGTGGACCCTCTACCCTGACCCTGAACACCCAAAAGGCACAAACGTGGAAACCGAGGGTGTGGGGTTTTGAGTTTTGAGGCATCCTTTACAGTTCAGGGTTTTTGGGCGTGTGGCCTAGGATTTAGAATTTGGGGTGTAATTTACGGTTTAGGGCTGGGGGTAATCCAGAGCGAACCCGAGGCTTTCGAAGACAGATGCCCTTGCAAGCCCTACGCAAAGAACGTTGAAGCCAGGGCGACCACGGCTGTTCATACTATCCTAAGATCCCTACACCCCCTAAGGGCCGAAAAGAACTCAAGTCCTAAGACCGGAACAACCTTCCCCCCCCAAGTCCGCAAATCCCTGCACAGATCGAAGCTTCCAACCCCCAAATAGCCCCAATCCCCAAACCCTGAACCCCTAAACCCTAAACCCTCCACCCCCCAAATCCTACAAAGCCATGGGCCTTCGAAGCCACTCGCCGGCCAGCCGCATCAATGAGCTCCTGCTGTCTGTCCTGTGATCGGGGGGTCCCGTTTTTGCGGGTGGTGGGTTTAGGGTTTAGGGTGTTCGGTTTGTCAATTTTGTTGAAACTCCGTGTCTGCGATGCCCAGAGGGTCTCGTGGTGTTGGCGGTAAAAGGGTTTAGGTTGCAGATTTAGGATTGAGGTCTTGAGGTTTGTGCTTTGAGCACCCGTTTTCCGATCTGCCGAAACGTCGCAGCATCGCCGTGGGGAAGGTGGTGGAGAAAATTTCCTTGAAATGCCCTTCCGACAATAGGAGTTTAGGGTTTAGGATAGGGCTTAGATAGGGTTTTAGGATTTAGGGCTTATAGGGGTTGTCATGGGCTAGGGTTTTGATTTAGCCACAGTCAGGAGCCGCAAGCTTTAGTAGGCTCTGGGCTGCCAGTCTCAATCAGGGTCGGGGCTGTTGGGCTTCCTTCGTGTGTGGCTCGGCGTGTGTTTGATGAGTGCTCGGATTAGGATTACCTGATTGCGGGCTCGGCTCTCTGTTGTCAGTGGGTGAGATCTGGTGCTTGTCTGCTGGCTTTTCGTAGGCCTTCTAAGTTTTCAGCTTTTGATGAAAAAAACAGGCCTCACCATGACCCCTTGCCTTTGAAGGACCAAACAGGCTTAAAACCTTGAGCACCAAAAAGCAGGTACGCACGCCGAACAGTTCAAGGACTCCTCCTGCACCGAGTTGGCGGGGCACACCAGGCAGGAAAACGTCGGGCCGGCCATGAACCTAGTAGGTTGAGGTGGCAGTTTCTGGAGGTGTTTGCCACGGTGCTTGGTTTGTAGGATGATAGGGTTGAGAGGGTTTAGCGTAAACCCGAAACCTTAAAGCGTGGATCAATCTCATCCCATCTCCTCTATCTCGGCAACTTCGATTGATTTAGGCTTCACAACTCGAGATTCTTGAGGGGCAGAGGGCGGAAGGTGACTCGTGCAGTCCAAAAGATCAGTGCACACTTGCAGAATTATTATCTTTAGCCCAAAAAAGGTTGACCTTTTGAGTTATGGTAGGATGATAAGAGTGCCGAAAGGTTAAAGGTTACCTACTCAGCCACTAAGTTATCGTCCCACTCTTGCATGGGAGAGAGGTGACCTCACAGACCTTGGCAGCTTTCGCACAAGCCTTCTCAAACCTCGTCGACCCGCTGTGCAGATGGCTGAATGAGGGGGAGAGGTGTGTTGTAGAAGGAACTCTCCTCATCAGCAGAAGTTGTAAGGCTGGGGAAAGTTCCACTACTGGGGGATCCTTGCTCAGCACCCGGCCCCTCTGCAAGTCGAGATCAGACAGCACTTGAAAACATCTCCGCGAAAGCTTAGTTCAAACTTGAAGGCATGACTGATTTCAGCAGTGCAGTATGGCCTGTGCCAAACCTTGAGAACTACGACAGGGATAGTGGTATTCGTTACCATGCACGAATATCTGCATCACACGTGTTATAGTCACACAAACGCATATACATATAGATATATATATATATATGATTATCTGTTTATATTATACTATCCTACACTATACTGTCTATACTATAAGACACTATACTATGCTATACAGAGACTATGGAAGGTTGTTGATGCTGAAGTTGGTCATGAATGCATGCAAACAGCAGGAAGAGAGATGCTGCTTAAATGCTTCTAGGGCAGTCTTCTTGCTACATAGCTGGTGGTATACCGGTCCTGTCGTCTCTGATCTGATGCACAACTAGATGCTGTTAAGTTGCTACATGGTGATGTTAGCTCCAAGTAGCAAGCAGTCATGTTTAGACTGCCGAAATTGAGCTTCTTAGAATGTAGCTAAGTCAAAGCCCGGCAGCATGTTCCAGGACCAACTGCTGTGGACGCTGTCGACCAAGCAGCTGCCATCCACATCCAGAGCCGTAGCCCAGTTGCCGTTCGTCTCCTTGCCTTCTAGGTGGGTGGCAAGAGGATCCAGGAAGGCCGCGGCATCACCGGCTTCGCTGGGGAAGAGGAGGTAGTCTAGTGTCACGCGCCACACCGTGCGGCTCGCTTCAGAACCATACTCGGCACCCGGCGTGCCACTGCCAGAGAAGCCCGTCTCAGCACGAAGGCTTTGACCTTCTTCATAGACCTTGGCCCAATTGGGCACGAGACCAGTGGAAGGACACTGCGTGGCCTCAAAAACTTTGTAGGTGGTGGCAATGACCTTGTTCCAGTCGGCTTCCCAATTCTCTCCTTCGTCGGCGGAGGTGCCATACTTGGTGTCGTGAGACTTCATGTAGTTGCGGCACAGCCTGTAGACACCGGGAGCATGATAGCTGGGGTTCTGGCCATCTCCGTCCCAGCCGCCCCAACAGGCACCCAGCTTGACGATGCGGTGATTTCCCGAGCTGGAAGCCACGGTGGAGCTCATGTAGAACTG